TTGACAGGCTTCCACTTACTGGATTGATGTGTGTTGGTGTTTTTTAGTTGAGTAGGCATAGTTCACTGTAATAAATTTTTCTGTGAGTTTTCCTTTTTTTTGTTTGTCTCCTTGAAACCCCAGATAGTAATGTGGCTATTAAAATCCCCTAGGAGAATGAAGGGTTTGAGTAATTGTTTTATCATATCTTCTGGTCATGTGTTGGGATATACAGAGAGCAAAGTGGCTGTCATGGCAGCTGCCATTATGTTTTTAGGTCACTTTTGAAATGGAGTATGTCATTTTTTATTAGGACGGCTATGCCTTCAGAAGCCCTGAGTTGTGATTATATTGTTGAGAGTTTCTAATATTAAAGTTAGGTTTTTTTATGTTTTTTGAAGACAAATAACAGCAAGATCCAATGTTTTATCAGCATGAGTAATTCCATTGGATTATTGTGTACCCCATTTTAGTATTTTATACTTTTTTAGTGTTTTGATTTTCTTGGTGGTGTATCATTCATTCTCTCTAGAACCTTTAATTTATTGTGGGTGTCAGGTGTTTTTTTTTTTTTTTTTTGTTGGTCATCTTGGTTTCTTTGGGAGACTTTCTGGAGATATTTATTGGATGGACTGGTGATCTTTGATATTCTTGTTTAATCTGGTTTACTTTAGGTGGAGTTTTTGAGTTTTATATAGGTGGTATTTGAGCCATAATATGGGGATTTGATATGAGTTCTTTCAGTTTATTTAGTAATTCTGTTTCACAGTTTTCTGACGTGTATATACCTTTTTAGGTGCTCTGGAAATTTTTGCCAGTCATTTGGTCCTAGCTGCAGTAACTGCTTGATGAGAGCTCTATATTTGCCTTTGTTGCTATTAATTGGATTTGACTACTGAAATACATTGACATGGGTATGGCCTTTCATATATGATTCTGATATTTTTCTTGCTTCTGGGGAAGATATATTTTTAAGGGATTGGGGATATATTGTTCAACGTTTTTGATTGTAAATCTGATTTTTATTTCTTTTTGGATTCTGGGTTTATTTAAAGTTAAAAAATAAATGTGTGTTGGTCATGGTTATCCTTCTATAGTTGGTGATCTATTGCATTTCTAAGGCTGCATTTATTTCCTCAGGAGTAACCAGAGACAACTCTATATTTCTAATAACTCCCTTTGATGTGTTAAGTCTTTCCTGTGGGTAAGCTTTATCAGTGGTTCCTAACTGGGCTTGCTCACATACCCTTATAGGGGGTGTGAAATGTTGGTTTTGGCAATTTAGCAAAAATAATAAATAAATAAATTTTAATGGTTAAAATTTATTTGTTTATTATTTTTGCTGATACCTTTTAACCATTTTAACAGTAGCAGAAGAGGAAATGACTCTTTTGTTAAATTAACCAGTGTAACGGTAATTAGCTAATACAGATAGCATTAAAATTAACAACCAAAAATAAGTGGTGCTGCTTCCTGCCAGCTACTGTTTATAATCGGGTTGCCAAGGGGGTGAGCCTCTTATTTTTTTTACTTCATGAAGTTCAGAATTATTTCTAGAATCCAAATTTGATGGGTGCTATATTCTATATTGGTTATTAGATTGAAGTCAGTTATTAGATTGAAGTGAATTATTCATCTTTTCTATCTCTTTTACAACTTGTTAACCCTTCATCATGTCAAAAAAAAAGGAAAGGGAATAATGACTACGTGTGATTTGGTTTCACTTGCACAGGAAATGATGAATTTCAAAAATCCCAGTGCATACTTTGTAATGCTGTGTTTTCTAACACAAATATGAAGGCATCAAAGCTGCAAGAGCACTTCAACAAGCATGGTGGAGGTGGTGTTAAAGGCCATGATTTTTGAATCACTGAAAACTAAAAGAGCAATCAACAAAGAACAAAAATCAATCTCGAGGAACCTTTCCAAGATTAGGTTTCATTTCTGTTGACACACTACTGCTGCTAGCTTCATACAAAGTGGCATATAAAGTAGCCATGTCCAAGAGGCCCCATACATTTGCAGAAAAGCTAATCAAACCGTGTGTATTAGAAATGGCAACAACTGTTCTGGGCCAAGAAGCAAGAAAAAGCTTGAATTAGTGCTGCTATCAAATAATGTCATTCACAATCAAATTGGTGATTTGAGTGATGATATTTTAGATTAAGTTATCTCAGATGTCAGGTCTAGTTCTTTGAAAGTATCTCTCCAGTTGGATGAATCAACTGATGTATCAAACTGCAGTCAACTCTTTGCATAGATTAGGTAGGTTAGTAATAGTATTGTGAAAGATTTCCTGTTTTGTGAAGAGCTGAAAACAACCACACAGGGAAAAGATGTGTATCAGTTTGTGAAAGACTTCTTTGCTAAACATGATTTAAATATCCAAACTATTGGTTATGTGTGCACTGATGGTACTCCAGTGATGATAGGGAATAAATCTGGATTTTCTGCACTGATGAAGAGGGAGATTCCGCACTTGCAAGTCACCCACTGTTTCCTTCCTCATCATGCTTTGGCAGCAAAAACATTGCCTCTAAGGTTGGAAAAGTACTCAACACTTGTATAAAGATCGTCAACTAGATTAGGGTTTGTGCTCGGAACCACTGCATCTTTAAGTTGTTTTGTGAAGATCTGGGAAATGAACATACAGTTTTGCTTTTCCACACAGAAGTCCGCTGGCCCTCATGAGGACGAGCTTTAACCCACTTTGAACTGCAGGAAGAAATCAAGTTTTTCTGGAGGAATATGACTATGATCTGGTTGGTAAATTGGAATCACAAAATTTCATGTGAATGCTGGCTTATTTGGCTGACATTTTCACTCATATGAATGAACTGAGTGTCTCTCTTTATGGAAAAGATATGAACATATTGAAATGTTGTGAAAAGTTGAAAGCTTTCAAAGAAAAGTTACCTCTTTGGCGTCGACAGATAGAAAGAGGTAATATTTCAAATTGTTGATGATAATGGATAATGGATAATGTTCATTCCTACTGTGTGTGAAGATATTGTGCTCATTTGGAAATGCTGTCAAAATCATTTGATGGATATTTTGCAGCTGGAGAACTGAAGTTTTCAGAAGAATGCATCATGAATCCATACTAATACAATTTGGATAATATGTCAGATGATAAGTTGAAGGAAGATCTTATTGATTTGTGAACAAAGAACCACACTTTTACAAAATAATATCCAAGAAACAGAAACAAAAAAGTCATAAGATTTAAATTTTAGATTTTTTTATGTGAATTTCTTAATTTTAGAGTTTAGATTTTTGAAATTGTTTAATTTACACTTACATTGAATGAAAAGCAAAATTTTTTATACTATTTGCTCATATTTAAGTTTGTTATAACGGTTTTCTTTTTTTTTTTTTTTTTTCCCCCCCGTTTCATGTTATTCAAAAATTAGCTTAAATAAATCTGTTGCTCAGATTGAGTATAAATTGCCTTTTTCATCTTCATATGAGATATTACATTTTTTTTTGTGTGTGTGTGTGTGTATATGGGAGGGTGCGAGATCATATAAATTTTCTAGAGGTGTGAGGCTAGAAAAGGTTGGGAACTCCTGTGTAGAAAGATTTAATTTTTAGTATGTTATCTGCATTTCTTGTTCATGTTTATAAGTAGATTACCACTTTTTTTTTTTTTCACTGTTCAAGGATTTAATCTGCTGGTAATTATTTTTTCCTATCAAGAATGGGGACAGATTGGCCAGAGGGGTTTCCTCTCAAGATTCAATTATGTTAAATCTAAGGAATTTGGTTCTGGCTACTGTTTTTGAATCTGTCACAGAGATTGTTTGGGTTTTTTGTTTGAGTTTGCTATGTGATTTGTTCTTTTGTTTTTCATTGGTCCTGTGCTCTAGCACCTACTGCAGAATCCAGTTTCTATTGGGAATTTACCAAGGTGGTTAAACTCATTTGTGATGAGGATACATTGACCAGTATACTCCCTGCTAATTTTGTGCTTCAGTAGCCCCCAAATCTGATGCCTTAATATGAAATGGTGGCTAAAGTTTCTTTTTCTTCTCAAATCTGTTGATCATCAGTCATTGTCTTCTAGCACTTTTAAAATAACAAAGGGTTGGATTTTAGATTGTCATATGATTAGTTTGTGTGACATTGTTGGGCTTAATTATATAAGTGCTAAGGCTTGACATGACCAGTCAATTGATTGGATCAGGCCTCTCCAACTGCAAAGAGGAGTGTTGCTTGTCACATGACAACTTCTATACCCATATCATGGACTGCTCAGCCACCAGGTTTCTATCCTTAGGCATTACAAGTCATCACCTATGGTAGACACTGCTCTGTCAACTGGGTGTAGAATATGCCACCTGCACCTCTGCAGAGGGGTCACCCCCCCCCAACTTCAGTGATGATATTTGTTTTAGTAAAGTTTTATCTCAATGTTTCTTGAAATAGCTTTGTTTGTTCCTTAAATCAATAATTTGATTTTCTTTGACTCGTATAGGAATCAAAATTCATTTGCCATGGACTTTGGTTCAGCAGACCAGTGTATTTTTATACAAAAAGTGTCATCTGTCTTGAATGTAATATGGTCTTCATTTCTTTTTTAGTTTTAAGAAAAAGTAATTACTAATGTTTTTAATGAATATTCTTTTTATTGTTTTAAGAAAATCATTTACCCAATTAATAAAGGTAATATTTAAAAAATCAGAATATATTAATAGAATTTTTATTCATGTAAAAACTATGAACTTATACACACTTCGGCAGACATATTTGCATTAAGACACACAGTTATGGTCTAGTTTTGTATTATATGTTTATTATAAATTGAACTCCCACATTATTTGCTTTCATTTTAAAACTGAATTTTTTTTTTCTTAAAAATGATAATTTTGAACCAGATCAAGCTACATAGGAAAATAAAATTTTCCTACAGAAATGTGCATATTTTCTAAATTGAATTTCCAAGTAATTTTTTGATCTTGTATTTTAACTGCTAGATTATCAGTTTTTAATCTTGTTTTCATACATTGTTTTGTCTACAGATAATTTAAGGATGTCTTTTGATTCAGAAGATGAACCTGGGTAAGTAAGAGATCTTTGCTAAACTTTTTCTTAAAATGTTTTTTGAAGGATTTAAAAATCCGTCTAAAGTTTCAACAATGTGTGTGTGTGTGTGAGAGAGAGAAAATGAATGCATACACACTGAGTAGGTAGGTATGGATATATAGAAAATGGCACCAAAAATAAAATCCCTCTTAAGAAAAAAAAGAAAGCACTTTCTTGAAATTGAAAATATATGTAAGGAAGAAAGATTGAAAAACCAGTTATAAGAAAAGAAATAACTACTAGGAGCTATACAAATTTAAAATTTGCATTTGAATATTAGTTTATATTTTCATCTGATCTTAAGTGAGAAATTTCAGGCAGTTGTGTGGTAGACTTATGCATAATAATTTCACTAATGAAACTTACAAGAACTCAATATTATTAGTCTTAAGTAAACTGTTAAAAATTAGCTGATATTTAAGTTGTGACAGTAACAAAATTTAGAGATATGTAAGATGAAAATTTTTTTTCTCTACCACTTACAGAAGAAATATTAATCTGTAAATTTTTTTTTATTTTTTAGTAACATTTTATTTTGTCCCTAAGACTTACAGTACAAAAGGATAGGGGGTTCTGTGGATTCAACTGCAAGTGAGTTTCTAAATGTTTTGTGTAATAATCCAAATTCATGTTCTCTATTCTGCCTCGATCTATAAAACATTTAATGCATAGTGATCACATATGGAGTTCCGTTTTTTCCACTGGAGAAAATTAAAATTAAAACATAATTTCAGTCTTTTTTTGAACTGGAATTGTTTTAATTTTTCAGCAAGGTAATTCTTTTTGTAAAATGCTTTGCAGTCTCTTAAAATTTATTTAACTAGTAATAAGTAATCCAAACTAACCTAGTTTACAGTGTGACAATGTGTTAAAATAGTAAAATTCGCTTCCATTTCAACTGCTGATATCTCGTTTATTTTTTTTTATTTTTTTTTTTTTTTAGACTATTTTGATTAAATCTTTTCTCTTTATAAAGATACAATTCTTTCTCCTATATGCTGATCAGTTTTTATTCAATGTCTCTTTAAATTATGTCACTATTTTAATAATACCCGGTGCATTTTGGAAGTTGACAATATCATACTTGTTTTTAAAACTTGTTGCACTCTGAGTTTCATTTCCCTACACATTTCAAAATAATTCTATCTTGAAAGAAAAAAGGGTACTCATCATTTGTTAGGCTAAGTTTTGAAATTGTCTTTCACAAAAATATCTAAATCAAAAACTTTTCTGGATGAAATACCAGAGAAAAACAACTCTTAAAATGAAAATTACACCTGATTTTAGAGCAATGTCTCATCTTTAATAAGTCAGTCGTTTTCATATGTCTGTGCTTATACAAATTGAGACTAACACAAATCGAAAAGTGGATATATTGTGTTCATTTCATACAAAACGGTACATTTTGGGTCGAAGCATTGAATTTTGTATTGCAGACTGGGTGAATAAACATTGCCAGTTGAAAGCCATTTTAAATCTGATTTGTTTCATTGATGGATATTACACAGTTGAAATCTTTTTCTTATATTTTCTTTAGTGATACCTTTTAAAACTGTATAAATTCCTTATTCATTGTGTTTTGTCCAAACAGTCACACTGTGTGTGTGTGTGTGCGTGTGTGTATAAAACATTATAAAACATTAAGTGTCATATGTGTGTGTATAAAACATTAAGTGTCATATGTGTGTGTATAAAACATTATCATATATAGATGTGTGTGTGTCTAAAAAAACATTATCATATATGTGTGTGTGTGTGTGTCTAAAAAACATTATCATATATGTGTGTGTATAAAAAACATTATCATATGTGTGTGTGTGTGTCTAAAAAACATTATCAAATATGTGTGTGTGTGTGTATAAAAAACATTATCATATGTGTGTGTGTGTGTCTAAAAAACATTATCATATATGTGTGTGTGTGTGTCTAAAAAACATTATCATATATGTGTGTGTGTGTGTCTAAAAAACATTATCATATATGTGTGTGTGTCTAAAAAACATTATCATATATGTGTGTGTGTCTAAAAAACATTATCATATATGTGTGTGTGTCTAAAAAAACATCATATATGTGTGTGTGTCTAAAAAACATTATCATATATGTGTGTGTGTGTCTAAAAAAACATTATCATATATATGTCTATAAAACATTATCATATATGTGTGTGTGTCTATAAAACATTATCATGTGTGTGTGTCTATAAAACATTATCGTGTGTGTGTCTATAAAACATTATCGTGTGTGTGTCTATAAAACATTATCATATATATGTGTGTGTCTATAAAACGTGTGTGTCTATAAAACATTATCATATGTGTGTGTGTGTCTATAAAACATTGTGTGTGTGTCTATAAAACATTATCATGTGTGTGTGTGTCTATAAAACATTATCATGTGTGTGTGTGTCTATAAAACATTATCATATGTGTGTGTGTCTATAAAACATTATCATATATATGTGTGTGTCTATAAAACATTATCATATATGTGTGTGTCTATAAAACATTATCATATATATGTGTGTGTCTATAAAACATATGTGTGTGTCTATAAAACGTGTGTGTCTATAAAACATTATATATGTGTGTCTATAAAACATTATCATACATATATGTATGTATGTATGTGTGTGTGTGTGTTTTGAGCTCTGTGTGAATCAGTTTTAACATTTTATATTGTATTAATAGGATTCACTTGAATTATATACAAAAGGATTATTACCTCTGTTTATGTGTGTGTGTGTATATGTATATCTGTCTATATTTCTGAGATAAGGTATTATGTACCGAATTTACAATATCCACTATTGTCCTCATGTTTGTTGCCATATTTATCACAACATATAGATTATTAATCTCCTATTAATTCCCCCCTCCAAGTTCTCAACCGCCTTGTCCAGGCATTGAACTCACACTCTTTGGATCTAACTAACGCCTTTGTCCACTGTGCCATGTGTCCTTGAGGACATTTGTGTATGAATTTCTGGGTTTTATAAACCTAATGTCTTCAGCAACTATTTTTTAACAGTGCTCATATTGCAATTTTTGCTGTTATATTTTTTACCAGAACTCATATTGCAATTTTCATTCTTATTATTGCTTTTCTCTGGCACTCCTTATTACTGGTTCCTATATTGTATTCATTTCTATGCTTGGTTGGCTAAGGAGATTTTTGTGACCTAGCATATGTGCCGATTTCTTAAGTTTACAAATTTTCCAATGATGTTCTTTGTCTATGATTTCACCCTGATCCCACAAAGGGCAGTGATCTCCCTTTTCTCTGAACAGCTGAAACATTGTGATAAATATAGCAACAAAGATGAAGACAATAGTCCGAATATTATGTATGTATGTATGTAATTCCATCGCTACATAAGAGTTCTCATGTTTCAAAACAAGAGCCGAAAACTTCAATATAATTATTTGAATTAAAGTACCAAGCTCTGTTCCATCTTCAAGCAAAATTTTTTTTTGGAATAACTAATTCCTGAAATTTACGCGTTTTATAAGCATATTCATTATTAAAATTACTATGGTAATGGCTAGAGCAATTATTTTAAAAAAGGGGCATAAGGGTTAATAATTTGTATCAATATCTCGGTTACATTCACAGAGGTCAAGTCAGGGTAAGGTCGGGGTGTCTAAATTCAAAGCGGAAGATGACATCGTCTAGTCTGGTTAAGTTTCTATGGAGATTTATTTATTTTTTATTTTATTTTTTTGTATTGTTTTCCAGAAAGGGTTTTGTGAATATGAAAAAAAAAAAAACTGTCATAATTAAGCTAACATTTGTTTTTTGACATGTATTTAAAAATGAAAAGAATTTTACATTGTCTCGGGATGTGTATAAACATGCCTTTATATATATATATATATATATATATATATATATATATATATATATATATATATATATATATATATATATATATAATTACAGATGTTCATGCATGACATTATCATTAAAATGTCATGTGTTTAAAGAGTTGTTTAAAATTTCCTAACTAAATACAAAATTAATAAGATATCCTATAAATTTCATAAGAGATGTACATAAAAATTATAGCTACCTCTCTTATTGATGAAACTTTTTTTTATATTATCTTAGGATATTTTTAACACTTTATATAGTATTTTAAGTTTTATTATTTTTCCAGAAAGCGTCTTCAGTACCTAATAATTAATAAAATATTAGATTGCTTAAAATATTTGTTAATTTGTAAAAATTATTGGGTACTTAAATAATTTTACTTAAAATTTGTGAAATTTGTCACTTCTGTTCATCTATCCAATGCCTTCTGACCTCAGCTGTCAATACTATTAATCAACACCTGACAAGCAAGTCACCACAGTTAAGAAATGCTTTTCTTACTCTCTACAACATTTTTTTTTATGCTAAAAAGTACTGTTTGTTATGCTAAAAAGTACTGTTTGTTTCAAACTTTAAATTTTCTAATTTCACTCAAGTAACCTTTGAAAAATGTATATTTTATTTTTACAAGATTTTTGAAACAGAGAATTTAACTTTTGATTACAAATGTCACAAAATGTCATCAATTTTACTGAAAACAAAAAAAAATGTTTATTGCAATCAATATAAATTTGGGTTTAAATACACCAAAGTATTTTGTTTACTGGGTATAGTAAATTTATTCCTTTTAACTTTGAATTAAAGCTAAAAAGAAAGCTTCACAAATGATTTATCATTTTTTAAATTTAATTTTAAACTATAGATATGCAATTTTTAAACCAGCAAACACTGCCAAGGATGGAAAGTATTTAAAATAATTCTGGTGTCAATGGAAAAACCATCCTTTTCTTTTTGTGTGTGTAAAAAGGCCCAAGTTTGCTGTACTTTGATGTAATACCACTTTTAAGATAGGATATGAAGTGTTCCAATAATATTGGCTATAACAGAGGCTTATAAGCAAATTCAGACAGCAAATTATCATTCTGTCAAGAAAGTCTTTTATA